ATTTTAAATACCAGCAGGGTCACCCATGGTGGACAGGTTTCAGATGTGCTTCCAGACTAAGGTAGACTAGGAAGAAGGAGTGACTGCTTATAAGTACACTTCTCAAACTGAATAACCACCCAGTAGTATGTGGGGAGTTAAGGGCAAGGGAGTATCTTAGTGAGACAAACGCGTGCAACAGCAGCAATGATGGACTCAAACATGCTGGAGAGCCCAAGGATGACACAGAAAGGGTCTAAAGCGTTGATCTGTTGTACATAAGGCCATTATGAAAGTTAACTCAAGGACAGCTATCTAGTATATAGGAGAATAAGAAAGCTATAAAATAGATTACTTTTACAGTGTACATTTTTTTCTCCAAATTTTTAGGAAGAGCAAATATCACTGGAGAGGTATAGTCTGTTGTATAATATAAAATATATATCATTGAGTCTTACAAGGACTCAGCTCTTTTTTTTACTGTAAAATCATGCTCACATATTCCTCTCCCACTCACCCTCAATTACTGCTAAGCTATCCTGATGATAGGAAGAAACGGTCATCAATGAGGTATATGAACAACTCAATCACTGAGAAAGGATATCCACCCTCATTACTCAATAAGTTGGCAAGCTGCTTTACACAACTGAACTTCTTGTAAGTTTGATTGTGTGAGTTAGTCTCCCTAAGTTCGAGCGCTGATATAATTAAGGACTAGACTCTGAACAATAAGTAGCCCCCCAGAGTGTGTGAATCCATAAAATATCCTCATCCAATGATAACATATTATCCATAATACTTTAGATGTTTGTAAACTCTTGACATAGCCTCACGATACACCTACATCTAAACGTGCGTTCTAGAGAAAAAGAATCATTGAAACAGGCATTAAGAATTCTCCCAAATAGGTTCCTTCTCTGTTCAATATATAGATTATACTGTACAGGGTCTAGAGAAATATTATATAAATGATCACACTGGTCTTCTGGGTCAATAAAAAAGACAGCAAGTGAACAGAAAAGTACTAGAAGAGTAGTCATAAAAACTGAGTATTTACCCTGGTTGTATCACTTTCCAGCAATGTGACTTTAGAAAAGTCATGTAACTTTCTAGAGTTTTGGTTTTCTCATCTGTAAGATGTGATTACTCACTCTGTCTACGGTATGGGAATGAGAATCCAAAGCAAAACAATATTCAAACATATGGAATTACTGCAGTGATTCCTAGGATACCACCAGTGATGTTACAAAGATCAGGCGTGCTAATACTAGCTAGTATTAATTATTCTTTGAAACGTTTCACGTTCCATGTTATGTCTCCTTTACATGAACATATACACCTAATTTTCATTTATAGTTTCCTGGACAGAGTCCATGTTGTGATCTTATAATAATGATGTTAAGTGCCATCAAGTAAGTTCTGACTCACAGAGACCCTGTATAGCTGGTGGGTTTCAACCACCGAGCTTGTGGCTGGCAGTCCAGTGATTATCCTACAATGCCACACCTGGACTCCTTTTATAATAATGGTGGTGGTGGTGTGCTATGGAGTAGGTTCTGACTTGTAGCAGCCCAGAGTACGGTTTCTGAGGCTGTAAGTCTTTACAGAAAACCTCATCTTTCTCCCACTGAACAGCAGGTAGTTTCAAACTGCTGACCTGGAGATTAACAACTTGACTCATAACCACTACACTACCAGAGCTCCTTGATAATAACAGTTACCACGTATTATGAGTTTACTAAATGTCAGGCACCAGATCAGGCACTTTACAGATCTGATCTTCTTGAATTCTCAATAGAACCCCAAGAGGCAAGTACTCTGCTTCCTATGTTAGAGATGAGGAAACTAAGACTTAGCCAGGCTAAGTAACTTGTATGTTCAACTTCAGACGCTGTAACTCCAAAGTTATGGAGTTTAGCCACTAGATGCTAACACACTATATGTGTCACAGGAAAACAAAACAAAACAAAACACAGCATGGCTCCAAAACTCACAGATACAGTTACTAATGCTAACAGGCTTACCTGCTGGCCATCCTCTCTGCTTTTGCTCTGAGGTGCTCTTTTTTAGTGTCAGTAAAGAACCTGCCCTGGTCTGCTCTACAGAAATGACATCTGAAGCTGCAGTCAGTACTTCAAACATAGAGAGGAATCCATACTGAACATACTGGAATGATCGTCCAAATCGCTTGGCAAAAGCCTTTTCAAAATCAGAAAGAAGAACTGGAGACAATGCCAAGAGATCTTTCAACTCACTCTTCACCACAGCTGGAAGAATAGGAGGTACCCTTCCCCGGTAGGGAACTCTTCCACGAGAGCTTGGCCCAGGGCCAACACTGGTCCTTCCCTTTGCCAGACAGTTTCGAACTTTATGGCTGCTCCTCTGCTTTGCAACTAAACTTGCTATTCCTTTGGTGGATTCATCTGGAATAGCTAAGGGGAAGGTGAAAAAAAATTACATTTGGGTGAAAGATTTACTCCCTTTTTTGTCCTTTGTATGTGTGTTTATACCATTTTTATGTCTCTAAAAGCTGTTTCTCTAAGTAGCACATAAACATGAACCTTTGACTCCTCCATTTCTGGTATTTTAGACAATGACTTGTTACCTCTACCATGGAGAATGAAAATAAAAAGGTATTATTGATTCCTGAAAAAACTGAAACTCTTTTAAAAGTCTGAATGAACAACAAACTTCCCTCTAGTGTTTTCTTGTGCTTAGTGGAATTTAAAACATGATTTTATAATCAGAAAGTCCCACTGGTATGTTTCTCTCCACTTAGGGTGCAATAATCTGAAATCCTAAGGAAAACATAGCTTTTGTGAACACACATTTTTCTGAGAAATCATTTCTTAATTTTGATGAGGTTCTAACTTTACTCACAACCTCAAATGAGCCTAGGGCACTCCAACATTTTAGAATCCACTGTGTGGGGCACAGGATAACTGCAAAGTCAGAACATCTTTACAAAGTGATTCGTTTTACTGCAAAGCTTGTAGAACTTCCAAATGTTAAACTTACCTTTCAGTATAACAGTGCCATCCCCACAGGGGCAGACACTAACAACATCAGGCATGTCCAAAACCAGTTCCATGGTAGACCTATAGCCAAGGATTCGAAGAGGTAGATGATTGCCAACCATTGAAAGGTACTCTTTTTCCAGCTGTTGTGAGGTCAAACCATCTTTGGTGGAAATGAGAAGAGACCTTATTTCTTTCCTCAGGCATTCCTGTATTCGCTCTTGTTCAGACATTGTGTCCTATAGGGCTTCGGTTAGAAATATTGCTCATGAGAAAAAAATGGACAAACGCAATACGACAAAATGCTTTAAATGATCAATAGTAAACTATAAACAACTGCACTCTGAATTTTAAAGGGAGTCCTGTTGTGGCGCTGTGGGTTAATACAATGGATTGCAAAGTTGGTTTAAACAAAAAACTCAGCGGCTCAAGCTCACCAGCTGATCCTAGGAATCCCTATACAGGGTCACTATGGATCGGAACCTACTCGAAGGCACTTAACAAGGCAGAAGCAATACTGTAAGAGTGCTCTGGGTCTTGGACACCACAAAGGCCACACACAATTAAACTAAAACTTCACTGGGATGATTCATTTGTGTCTCAACAGATCCCTGCCACTGGTAGTGTATGAGATGTCTGAGTTCCGGTCTCGTTTTATTTTTGCTACAGCGTTAATTCGGGTCTGTTTGGGGGTTTTATTCTACATTTCAAACTTCCTAACAATCTGTGTAGACTCTTGGGGAAGCAGAAATCGAAAACGAGGCCAACGCAGTACTGCCTTCGCTGGCTTAAGGAACCGACCCTACCTAAAACCTCCGTCACCCGCAGACGGTCTCCCCAAACCCGCTGCCAAGGGCGTGGCTTCCTCTGACCTTAACTCGAGAACTGCATCTTCGCCGCCGAGACCCCACTTTCCTCGGCGGGAACCCCTTCCTGCCCCCACCGTCCAGACCTCATTGGCCCATGCGGGAGTGGGGCGTTGTCCTTCACCTGGCGTGGGGGCTCGCCTCAACTCCGGGTGCAAACGGAAGACTGCAGTAGGGCGGTGGAGAGCCCTCTGCGGCCGGGCATTGCCTCGCGGCGCTCACCTGCCTCGGCGTCTGGAGCTGCGCGGCCGTTGCAGCCCCCAGGAGTCAAGGGCGCCCTCCAGCGAGCAGCAAAGGAACCGCAACCTCGACGGCGGCCCCACGCGCCTGCGCACGGGTGCTGGAAGACCGCAGCCCTGCGGAGCGCGCAGGATGTTGGGGACGGTTGAGCTGGCCAGCTGCGGGGGGAGCCACTCCGGGGTCGGCCATCGCCGCAGGGCCACTCGGCCGGCTCGCAGGTGGTGTGGCCGCCTTCCGGGACCGCCCGTACCTGCCCCTCCCGAGGCTCCAACCACCCCGCAGGGCAGGGTCTTGTCCAGGTTCTGGACGGCCTGTAATCAAACCCAACCCAACCCACTGCTGTGGAGTAGCGATCCTGTCCGGCAAGGTAGAGCTGCTTCCTAGGGTCTCCAAAGCTGTAAAACTTTACGGAAGCAGACTACCTCATCTTTCTCCTGCAGAGCTGGAACTGAAGTCTTTTTGGTTAGCAGCCGAATGCTTTCACCAATGTGCCACCAGGGCTTGTTGGAGGGTAGTTGTTGGGGAGGCATAGGAGGCTTCGTGGTTTTTCATTTGAGTGCGTGTCAAAATCACCTGTGAAGCGCAGGTCTGATCCTCGATGTTCTTTATTCAAAAGGTCCTAGTTCTGGAGAAATTACGGACAATTCTGATATGAGGTTGAGAAAACTACAGAGGAAGGCAAAATTTAGGGTTCTCTGGAAATATGGTGTAGGATTACTTGACCATAAGGTCGGTTTGAATCATAAGGTCATCAGTTCAAACTCACCTTCCACTCCTCAGGAACCCTATATTGGGTTGCTGAGTCAGAATCAACTCGACAGCACTTAACAAGAGAGGAATGGGTGGGGCAAGGACAGCTCAAAATGAGTGAAGAACCCAACCCGGCACGTGAGACGAACTAAAACAGGTGGTAAACTAAAGAAGTTGGGGGAATGACTTGGAGATGTATTTGTTGGAGAGTTGGAATGAGCCAGATTTGTAAGGTCACTGAAAACTAGAAAACAGCAGTTTTCTGGTTTAGAATCAAGAGGCATAAAGACATTTGCTTTTAAATGCATAATCGAATTAATGAAACAAGGCAACCCAAATGATAACCAAAATATTTTAATCAAGATGGACACTTGAGTACACACATTTACCTTATCTCTCATCTAAAAATCATATATATATGTGTGTGTGTGTATGTGTGTGTGTGTGTGTATATATATCCCAGAGGCAACAGAAAATGCCATCAATGAGCAAGGAATATTGAAGAATCCCCAAAAGACTAAAAATAGAGAAGAGATTTATGAGTGACTAGCAGAATGAACAAAGTTGAATAGTAGATTAACCAAAAAGAAAATAGACGTGGAGAATTCCAACATTTGCATGATAGAAGTTATCAAAAGTATATGTGCTGCAACTACATCCATGAATATAGTAGAGCATACAGGGGACAAAGTTATGAAACTTCTTAGCCAGAAGCAAATACCTTGGGGGAATGATTTGCTGGGCCTGGAGGCTCAGGATGATAGCCTCGGGGGACATTCAGGTCAAATGGCACAACATAGTCCATAAAGTCAGTGTTCTACATCCTATTCTGATGTGCAGTGACCACAGTCACAAAAGGCTGTGAGTAGTCATTTAAGGGCAACCATGGGTCTCTCCTGTCCAGAGCAAAGAAGAGTGAAGAAAATCAAAGACACATGGAAAAAAATTACTTCAAAGGCCTAATGGGCCATGTGAACCCCAGCCTCCTGGATCCTGAGACCAGAGGAACTAGATGGTGTCTGCTCCATCTGCCACTACCAACTGCTCCAAAAGGGATCACAATAGTAGGTCCTGAAGAAAAAGAAGACAGAACTCAAAATAGTTTTTAAAAGACCAGGTTTACTGGTCTCATAGAGACTGGTAGAACCCCTGGTATATGATCCTTACTGATTCATCCTTCAAACCTGGAACTGAATTCACCCTCAGGGCTCAACTTTCAGCCAAACAACAGATAGACCTACACAGTGAACAATAACACCATGAAGATAAGCAATCTCTCTTGGGAGCAGTTTAACCGAAGGATTGCAACTAAACAGTTGTGGTCCAGAAAATCGAGCTGTTCCCAGGTCAGGCTGCCCCCTGAGGAACCTGCAAAGCCTATCTCAGAGAACAAGGAATTTGCAAAGTCTTTCCTTGTATGCAGTCATGGCCTTCAATTTAGTCTGCAAAAACATCTCCTACCCTTTCTGTTTGCCTAGCAACTACAGTCTTCTGATAACGTCCCACTTCCTACTTGCATCTACACACCAAAAGATTTTTGCAATCTTTTCCCTGCCCCCAGGTCTCTCCTTTGATTAGTGTACATAATAAACGAGCTAAACTTAGGACGGTGTCACACTATCTCTAAAAGAGTGCTGTGCCCACCTGGTCCCAACTAGTCTATTCTCATTTTGTGTCTTGTATGTTTCTTTTTTTCTAATCTCTCTTCACCCCTACTCGGGCTTAATCTCTAGCCACTTGTTGCAAATCCCTAGAACAACCAACCCTACAAAATCAAAGGGCACCTGGGATACATCTCGGAAGGCAAGAAGGGATAGGAAAGAAAGGACCCAGTAAGTTTAAGAAGAGTGCTGACTACAATCAGAGTCATGAATCAAAATGTCAAGTGTTGAATGGAAAACCAATTTGTTCTGTAAACTTTTACCCAAATAACAATAAAAAGTTAGAAAAAAAATTAAGCCCATACTCCAGAGGTTCTGAGATCTGATATAGTACTGTGTTAAGTGCTCTGATTAGCCAGGTGTGTCTCAATCATGAGAGAGCTCTGTTCCTCAGACCTAGAACTGTGTTTTGTTGGTTTGTTTCTTTTGTTACACATATTATATAGAGGGTTATTTGGTAAGTTCATTTCTTGAAATCCAACAATTAACCACAAACCACAGTGCACTCTGTGGGTCTGGCTAATTTGTCTTCCATTCTACCGCCCATTATAGGGTCCACTTTTCTTCTGGTAATTAACTGCCTCCACCTGGTCTCCTCCCCGGCCTCCTTGCATGTGGGAGTGGATTCCAATTGCAGCTGCTCCTACCAGCATTCCTGCCTCAGAAAATAGCCAGTAAAGAATTTAAGCATCTGGAGCTTGCTTTATTAATATATACCTTATGACAAGAATGAGGAGAGGAAAAGGCAAGTTCCCCCCCCCCAAAAAAAA